AGAATCGGCTCATGAGGAATTCTGTTCATCTCTCTGGCCTGTAAATCCCTTCTTGTTTGTATTTCTCATCTGCAGCTGCTGACGACAGAGGCTGCCGTGTGTCTGGTGAACGTGACCGCAGTGAGTGTTAATATGGAGTCCTGTGGGTTCAGTTTCACCACACCGGGACGCTCCTGCAGCTTCATCCTGACTGATGGATCTCGCATCTCCAGATGTTCTGAAGACAGCAGCCGATACACATGCCTGATGGAGGACCTGATTCCCGGCACCAGCTATGTGTTTGGGATCATTTCAGAGACAGACGGCGCTCAGCTTAACATCAGTGCTCAGACCGGTGAGTGAACAGGAGACGGTGTACTGTGTGTGCTTGACTGAGCGCGTTCTCACAATAACACTGGGAGATTTACAGCACTCTTCATTGTTCTTCTCCTTCACGCTGATGTGCTGGAACACATTGTTCTGACAGGGTTGATAAAGCACCGGCGTTCACAGCTTACAGCGGATGTGTTTGAGTGTCTCTGTGTTCAGTAAATCAGCTGGAATACACTGTGTTCATAAGAGCAGTCGTGGCCCGTGGTTCTTCACCTCTAGGCTGCAGTGCAGAATTCTTTAAGGCTCTTTTTCCTCCTGTGAGGTCAGACTTGTAGAAACATTGGACAGTAAGTTACTAAGTTAGTAAGTTACTCACAAAGTCAGTGGGTCATTCCTATAGATTTCCCATCATCACTGAAACAACATTTGTCCTAATCCAACCCAGGCTCATTCTGAAAACGTAGTCCCGTGGACGTTTCTGAAGACTGCGAAATACGTCCCGGGAGGTACGTATGGCTGCATTTCATTTTTTTAAGTGAACGCTACGGGGCGGTGTGACGCCGTTCCCTTTTGCGCTTGCCGGCTGACCGCTTACCTCCATATGGAGAGCTTTCCCGCCGCTATTAGTTTGTTCGGTCAGCTCATTGTGTGCGTCGGCGGACTTCAGATGCAGAGAGGAGGAGTTGACAAAGGCGTCCGGGTTCGAGTCCGGGGAGGAGCGGTTCCAGAAATCAGGTAAGACAAAACAGAATCCAAAAAATAAAGCGAACGAGTTCATAACAGGGAGAGAACGCGGTGAAATCCGAAAACGTGTTAAAAAGAAAACAGATGAGGGCTTTTCTTTTTCTAGACGGCGTAAATTGTTGCTCGGGTTTAGGGAAGTGAGCGGGCAGGCGGGTCAATCGGTAAAACTGGTTGGGTTCAGGGAAGGAGGAGGGTGGGTCAGCCGATTGGCCGGTCGCGGAGTCAATCATTCGGTCAGTCAGACAGCGGCCTCTGGTTGGTTGACGCGAGAACAGCGCGGGCATGAACGGCACTTGCGAGAGACGTTCGAGATACGAAAAAGCGCACACAGCGGCCTTTCGCGGATTCGCGAAAACAAAACCTGCACAAATACGTTCCTCCCTGGACGTATCTCGCAGTCTCCAGAAACGTTCCCGCTGGACTACGTTTTCAGAATGAGCCTGGGTTGCCTAATCCTCAACTTAAAAACACACAAGACTGGAAATAATGAATCATGAAGTAAGACTCTTAGTTTCACAATTTCTTGTCTAGTTTGAGAAGCAGAATCATGTTCATTGGGTTTACTCATTCAGTTTCTTCATTCGTGACAGGAGTGCAGGGGTCTGTGGTTTTGGCCAATCCTTCTGCACCTTTGAGGAATTGTTGAGGATTTAAGGGAAATAGTCAAACCTAAACCAAACAGCAGAACTTTGGGTACAGGAGCGCAGTGTGCAGACCGCCGCTGAGCAGCTTTCAGTGTTTCTGCCATTGAGCGCCAGCTAGAGTCTGTAAAGTACAGTAAAAGTAGAATAATAATGCAGATATAGAGGATATAGAGTAATAATGGTGTTTTATTCCTGCAGTTTCAGTCGTGTGTGCAGGTCTGTGTTCTGCTGAAGGACAGGGCACTGGTCAAACTGAGCCTCCCTTTCCTGAATCCTTTTCCTTAGTCTTTATGAGAGACGGTTTACTAACTGTGACGGATAACCCAAGCGTACCGTCACCGCCGCCCCAGCACACACAGCAGGCCGATCATCGAGTTCTCTGGGGTTTGTAATAGTGCTGTTGATGGCGTGGAGCTTTACACACATGACTTCTGAGAGACACTTGTGTTCCGGTTTACACCTTCTCCCAGTTTAAAGCACCAGTGGAGAAGCCCTGTCTCTATTCAGTGTGTTGAAATGAGATCAGTCCACATAATACAGACACATCACACCGGCCAACAGGGACAGTTCAGTCAGAACTCTACACTGATGAAGCTAAAGCTAAAGCAGCAGACCTGTACATGTACACACACTTTAACCATGTTCATCCAGCAAACTCTCTGATTATTTCTGTAAATGAGCGTGTGATAGTGTGTGTTTATTACTCTGTGAGCTGATTTCTCTCTGGTAAACTCCTCAGCTCCCCAACAGCAGCTTTCCCTGCTAAAGGCCGTCAGCGTTATCGCTATTTCCAGGATATTTTGAGCCTGCCTCTCCCTTCCTGCCTCAGCAGACGACACGCCTGCGTATCCTGTCTGTTACTGAACATGACCATGATGCTCCACACACTCACACGCTCTGGATATACACCTTTAGTTCCATAGGCGTGAAGAGTTTCATATTCAGATAATGATATTTTAAACCCCTCTCTCTCTCTCTACTGTACAGACTGTACTCTCTCCCCCTACCCCAACCCTTACCCTACACCCTACACCCTAACCCTAATCATAACCCTTACCCTACACCCTAACTCTACCCTTACCCTTGCAGTGTGTGTGTGTGTGTGTGTGTGTGTGTGTGTGTGTGTGTGTGTGTGTGTGTGTGTGTGTGCTGACTGATGGTCTTTCTGCAGCTCCAGCTCCTGTCTCCTCATTGGTCCTGCGCAGTGATGGCGGCAGTGACTCTCTGAGGGCCGCATGGGTTCCTGCAGTTGGACGAGTCGACTCATACCTGCTGTCTCTGCGGCCGGCTGGCACAGCTCTGACTCTTCCTGCAAACGCGTCTCGGTGTGTTTTCACTGGTCTGACTCCTGGACAACAGTATGAGCTGTCAGTGAAGACCAGGAGTGGAGCTCGATCAGCTGAGCGGACGACCGCGGCCAGAACAGGTGAGAACTCGGATATCAGCCAGTGACACACAAGCTGGATTCATATGAACACACAGACTGAATGTGAGTGTGTGATGTCTGTTTGCTGGTCAGCTCCGGGACGGGCGGCTCGTCTGAAGCTGGAGGCTCTCCGTCTAAACACTCTGCGTTTGTCCTGGTCTCCTCCTGATGGGGTCTGGGATTTCTACCGTATTCTGCTGTTCAACGGCTCCTCTGTGCTGGAGAACCGGACGGTGGAGCGGCAGCGGCTGGAGATCAGCTTCACCAACTGCACTCTGATTCCTGGACGGAGATACAGAGCTGCTGTCAGTGTGCAGAGCGGAGATCTGAGCACAACCGCAGACTGCCATGGGGGAGCCGGTGGGTGATGGAGCAGCCACAGCAGTTAAACCCCACTAGTCAACTCATGTACCCCAATAATGAAGTCCTCCACGCTAATCACTGCAGCTAAACTACACTAATCAGCTCAATGAACTGAGCTAACTGCATTACTGTGGTGTTTCAGCTCCGCGGGCCGTGCAGATGTTGACTGTCCGCCACGCCGATGAGTCGAGTCTGCGGGCCGCCT